GACCTGTCCATCCTCCCTGGACTGACCTATCTCCTCCCTACCTCCCCACCTACACTCACCTTTACTGGCTCCATCCCCGCCTCTTTGACCTGTCTGTCTCCTCTCCACCCATCTTCTCCTCTATCCAACTTCTATCCGCCTCCCCTCTCTATTTATTTCAGAACCCCCTTCCCCTCCCCCATTTCTGAAGAAGGGTCTAGGCCCGAAACATCAGCCTTCCTGCTCCTCTGATGCTGCTTGGCCTGCTGTGTTCATCCAGCTCTACACCTTGTTATCTCTTTTCATTGGTATCATGTCTTTTACAGTCTCAAAGTATAGTCAGTTTCACAATGTAGGAAACATGACAGCCATTTTGCAAACAGCAACATCCTACAAGCAGCAATGAGATAATGACCAAGTAATCTATTTAGCGATGTTTTTGAGGGAATAATATAGGTCAGGCCCTTGGTCTTCTTCAATATAGTGTCATGGGACCTTTGACATTTACCTTGGCAGTCAATTTTGGATCTCCTCCAAATGACCACAGTGCCGTGTTCCTTTGTTACTGTACTGAACTCGGGCTACACCACGAGTTGGAATATCTAGAATGGCCAGAAAATTTACAAATAGGACATGTACACTTTCCAGTATGCTCTCCCAGACTGAGACATTTTTCTTTTAGATGATTTATTTAAAGCAACAAAAGTCAACTATATAATGCAGAAAGTAGGGAAAAGGGGTCTTTTACCATGCTAGCAGGATGTCACGAGTGGTGTGCCACAGGGATTGGTGCTGGACCGACTCGTACAATTTATATCAATGATTTGAATTAAAGGGTCAAAGGTATGACAGCTAAATCTGCTGATGACAAGGATAGGTAGGAAAGTGAATTGTGAAGAGGACATATGGAGACTATAAAGGTACTGTAGCGAGGTTAACTGAATAGGCAAAAATCTAGCAAACCAAGTACACTATGGAAAAGCGGGAAATTACAAATTTTGGCAGAAAGAATAAAAGAATGCATATTCTTGAAATAGTGAGATGTTGTAGAGCTCTCAGATGCAGAGATCTGGATGTTATAGCATATGAATTAAAGGTCTGTACGCAGATTCAGCAAGTAATCAGGAAAGCTAACAGAATGTTGCAGAATGCAAGGCAAAGTGAACGCAAGAGTAGGAAGGTTATGCTTCAGTTATGCAGGGCATTGGTGAGAACGCATCTAGAGTTCTGTGCAGAGTATTGTTCACTGTACTTATGGAACGATGTTAATATGTTGAGAGCAGCTCAGAGAAGGTTAATGAAACTTTTAACTGGAATGAGCAGATTGTCTTATGAGAAAAGGCTAGACAGGCTAGGTCTGTATCCTCTGGAGTTCAGAAGAGTCAGAGATGACTTAATTCAAACATACAAGATCCTTTCTAGTGTGAGAAAATCTAGAACTAGGGGTCAAGTTTAAAAATAAGAGGGCACCCATTTAAAACCGAGATGTGGAAGCTTTTTTTCACTGAGAGGATTGGGAGTCTTTGGAATTCCCTTCCTCAAAAGGCAGTGGATGCAGATTATTTAAATATTTTAAGGTGGAAGTAAATAGATTCTTGATTACCAAGGGGATGAAAGATTATCAGAGATATGCAAGAGCGTAGAGTTGAGGTTAAAATTAGATCAGCCATGACATTATTGCATGATGGGATAGGATCAAGGGCAGTGCGGCCTCCTCTTACTCATTGTTTGATTGTCACAAACTAAACTAAGCACAAACCTTCCCAGCTTTCCTCAGAATATGAAAAGAGTTTGTAATCATTTCTAGATTCCTCTCAGGTTCATAGTAAGAAAAAAACTACAATATACTAAAGTGGGTGCAGTAGCACAGGGACCTGGGTGCAAATGTGCACAGATCATTGAAGCTAGCATGACAGGTGGTGGAGAGCAGCAGCACATAAAGCAAACCGTGTTCTTGGCTTTATTAATAGGGACTTAGAGTACAAGAACAGGGAGGTGATGTTAAACTTGTACAAGATGCTTGTCAGAGCTCAGCTAGAATACTGTGTACTGCTGTGGGCTGCCACATTGGAGGAAATGTGTGAATACATTAGAGTGTGCAGAAGCTATTTACAAGAATGGTTTCAGGAATGGAGAAACTTCAGTTATGAGGACAGATTGAAGAAGTTGGGCCTGTTCTCCTTGGACAGAAGAAAGCTGAGAGGTGATTTGATAAAGGTTTTTAAAATCATGAGAAAGCTGGTTAGAGCAGACAGAGATAATCTGTTCCTTGTTGTAAAAGAAAAAAAAAGAAATTGCATAGATTTAACGTGACATGCGAACAAAGCAAGGATGATGCGTGGAAAAACCTTTTCAGACAGCAACTAGTTAGGTTATAGAATGCGCTGCCTGGAAATATGGTGGAGGCAGGTTCAATTGAGACATTTGAGGGCATGGGATTATTATCTGGATAGAAATGGTGCGCAAGGATATGGGAAAAAGGCAGGAGACTGGCGCTAGGTAAGGGAACTAGTGCAGGCATGATGGGCAAGTGCAGTGCAGCCAGCAGCACTTGTTGTCATTACAAGACAGATCTGACATCAGATGCTGCTATTCACACATGCATTGGTAAAGCTCAGAATCCAACCAGAATATTCCATCAGAAATACTCCACTTGTCCAATAGACAAGTCATTGTAGTTGCTGGCATTAGGCAGGATACTGAAATCACTACAAGAGTATCAACTTTGGAATACATAACAATTGCATCTGCACAAAAGATGAAATAGTCAGAATCAGTGCATTAGAGTGAGAGCATTTTTGCTGGATGTAATTATTACTGAATAGCCTCCGTGGCCCTCAAAAACTAATTTTCTAAGGTGAAGTCTCATTTTTTATGGATGATTTAAATGCAATTTGTATTTCTTGCTTTACACTTCCTGATTTGAATTCTCAGTGTATCTGTATCTCAGTGAATATATTTCAACCCAAAGATCTTTTTCCTAGGGTAGGGGTCATAGGCTTAAGGTGAAGTGGGGGGGGGGGGAAAGAGGAGGAGGAGGAGGAGGTAGTGGTGG